GTGGTTGGTTCAACTTAAATTCTTAAATTCTCCTACTAGAAAAGCCAGTGAGGTGATGTGTATGGTGGTAGTTATTTTTGTTTTGTTTTTTTGTTTGTTTTTGATTTTTGCATACAATAGAATGCAGAATCTTTCTAGAATGAGATACTGGCACTGGTGAGCTTTGCCTAAGATTTCTATGAATTTTCAATAACACATCTCTTTGTTTTCCTCATCTCTCCCTTCTGTCTCATGTGACTTATTTGAGGGGAAGCTAAAGAAACTAAAACCAGATTAAGTTGTGTATAGCTTTTATACTTTAAAGTAGCTTCCTTTGTATGCCAACAGCAAATTGAATGCTCTCTTATTGACTTATATAATAAGTGCATGTAGGAACTGCAAAAAATATTTTAAAAGTTTATTACTGAATTTAAAAATATTTTAGAAGTTTTGTAATGGTGGTGTTTTAATATTTTGCATAATTAAATATGTACATATTGATTAGAAAAATATAACAATTTTTCCTCTAACCCAAAATGTTATTTGTAATCAACTGTGTAGTGATTACACTTGAATTGTGTATTTAGTGTGTATCTGATCCTCCAGTGTTACCCCGGAGATGGATTATGTCTCCATTGTATTTAAACCAAAATGAACTGATACTTGTTGGAATGTATGTGAACTAATTGCAATTATATTAGAGCATATTACTGTAGTGCTGAGTGAGCAGGGGCATTGCCTGCAAGGAGAGGAGACCCTTGGGATTGTTTTGCACAGGTGTGTCTGGTGAGGAGTTGTTCAGTGTGTGTCTTTTCCTTCCCCCTCTCCTCTCTTCCCTTATTGTAGTGCCTTATATGATAATGTAGTGGTTAATAGAGTTTACAGTGAGCTTGCCTTAGGATGGACCAGCAAGCCCCAGCGGACCCCAAGCTGTCTGTCCACTGGGATTTAACAGAAGAACAGGTTTAGTAGCTGTGTTGTGTAAATGCATTGTTCTCAGTCTCCCTGCCAACAGTGAAAAATCAAAACAGCAGCTTTCCTTCTTTACTGCCACTTGTGTCCCGTTCCATTTTGGATCCTTAGCTCAGTTCTCATGGAAGCATTCCCCTGTGTGGCTCTCTCACTGTGCCTTGCTACCTGGCTTCAGTAAGAGTTCAGGGAGCGGGTGAGAGCAGTGAAGCCAGCACTAAATATGCATATTTGAAAGTAAGTGCAATCACTTAGGATGGGGTTTCTTTTTCTCTTTTCCCGTGTGGTAGTCCTTCCTGCGCATAGGTGACATTACTAGTAAACTGTTTGCTTGTTTTGTTAAAAGCATGTAACAGATGTGTTTATACCAAAGAGCCTGTTGTATTGCTTAACATGTCCCTATACTACGAGGAGGGTTTTGTAGAACTACTGGTGACAAGAAGCTCACAGAAAGGCTTCTGAATCAGTGAAGAATATTAAAAAGAAAGCAAAGCCTCTTGAATCACTAAGGTTTTTGAGGTTTCTTTGTAACAACATGTACATTCTTGGGGCCCTTCAAACTGTGAAATTGTCCTAGTATTCAACTCCTCCATGGATTTGGGTCAAGTTGAAGGTACTGGGAATGAGGACATCCCTGCCCACGAAGGATGTGCGGGGAGAAGGTTAACCCTAAGCTACAGATGTGTTCCACCAGAGCTGAAAGTTACATTTGAACGATAATTCTAGGATTGGTTCTGTATAGAGATGGTGTCGGGGAGGTGCAGGATGGAGATGGGAGATTTCATGGAACCTGGTCAGCAAGCTCTGCACCAGGTGAAACACGGCGGAGCTGTCAACGAACTTGGAGTTTCTTCATCATGGGGAGTGAGAGTTTCCAGGGCGGGGCAGGTAGTCAGTCCAGCCTGCCAGGAACATGGTGTATTTTCGTCTTTTCTTTGATCATTATATTAAGCTGTGCGTTGAGCAGTCTGTTGGTTGATAACCACGCATTCGTGTAGTTTGTCACTAGTGTGGAACAGTTTAAGTCAGTGTGTGTGTGATCTTTGTGTCTCCTTTTCCCCAAGCATCTGGTTTTCTTGTTTAAATACAGTTCTAGTTTCTAGTTGGAACATTTTTGTACTTTATCTTCCCTCAGCAAGGGACAAAATTTATTGTTTTTTGTAGGAATGAGATGCAGGGAAAAAACAAACCAACCGCTTCCCCGCCCCCTCATCCAATCAGCAATTACTGAAGATGGGAGTTTTAAGTCCATGGGGAAAGAGAATGCCCAAGTGCTTGCATCATCACCTCTAACGTCTGGCTAGCAGTGTGACTTTACAGGCTTTGAAGTTGTCAGTCTACAAACTGACATTTCTCATTTCCCAAGATAACCCACCTCTGCTGAGGGTATATGTGCTGGACGTGGTTTTACATTCACTCTGTCCTGGGGCTTAAACAGGGACTGCCTGCCCTGCTGGCATGGAAGGAAGCCCTGTGAATATAGTGGGCAGCTGACCTGAGTCAGCATTGCCTGACCTTGGACCAGCTTAAGGCTTTAAACCCTTAGAACTTGCATTTCTAGCTTCCCTCTTTCCAGATGAGAGGAAGTAGAAAGGGTTGCATAGAGCCACCTAGGCACACCAGGACATGTAGAGTTCCCAGTCACTCCTAGGAGTTGATTATCATTGTCATGTTCAGCTGAAATGCCAACCCCAGGAGTAAGAACCCCATTTCAAACAATTCTGGCCTTTCAGAGCCTGCTTTTGTGGTTGCTCATCCACTGTCCTCCACTAGAGGGGCTGAGCTTGACTGCCCTTAGCCAGGCAAGCACAGAAATTGATGTTTTAGTCTGCATTATTATGCAGAGATCTACTAGTTGAGATGGTTTGTTTTAGGATAGGAAATGAAATTGCCTCTCAGTGACAGGAATGGCCAAGTCTGCTTTGTATTTTGACTTTTTTTTTTTTTTTTAAACTGATGGATGGTGCAGCATGTCTCCATGTCTCCATGGTTGTTTGTTGCTAAACTTTATATAATGTGTGGTTTCAATTCAGCTTGAAAAATAATCTCACTATATGTAGCAGTACATTATATGTACATTATATGTAATGTTAGTATTTCTGCTTTGAATCCTTGATATTGCAATGGAATTCCTACTTTATTAAATGTATTTGATATGCTAGTTACTGTGTGTGATTTAAACTTCTTTTCCTTTCTCCCTTTCCTGGTTGTGTGCTTCCTTTTACAACAAGCTTCTAGAAACAGGTAGTTCTGAGAATTACTGAGCTATGTTTGTAATGCAGGTATACTTAGGGAGTATGTAAAATAATCATTTTAACAAAAGAAATAGCTATTTAAAATTTAATACTAACTATGGGAAAAGGGTCCATTGTGTAAAACATAGTTTATCTTTGGATTCAATGTTTGTCTTTGGTTTTACAAAGTAGCTTGTATTTTCAGTATTTTCTACATAATATGGTAAAAAGTAGAGCAATTGCAATGCATCAATAAAATGGGTAAATTTTCTGACTGTGGCTGTTTTTACTTCTGATTAGGGCATAAAGGGGATCAATAAATAGCATCTTTGGAGTGACTAAACATTCTATTTGAAGATGAGTAGAATACTATTACATTAGAATATCTTTGTACAAGGCTGCAAAATAGAAATGAATGCCATTTTGTAGGAAGTATTTCCCAAGAAGAAAGTGTCTCCAGGACCCTGGACTCCTGACTCTGGCCATTTGAAAAGGCAGCCGGGCCGGGCGGTGGTGGCGCACGCCTTTAATCCCAGCACTCGAGAGGCAGAGCCAGGCGGATCTCTGTGAGTTCGAGGCCAGCCTGGTCTACAAAGTGAGTTCCAGGAAAGGAAAGGCGCAAAGCTACACAGAGAAACCCTGTCTCGAAAAACCAAAAAAAAAAAAAAAAGAAAGAAAGAAAGAAAAAAAAAAAGAAAAGGCAGCCGGCTTTTGAGATAACTTTGTTTCCTAGTAGGTGTCATCAAACATTTAGAGCAGTAGAGTGAAAACGAGTTACAGAAAGGTGTTTTTGTTCTCTCCTTTGGCCCTGGTAGAGCTTGTTGCCTCTTTAAAAAACAACCTGGGCCTTGAGAGATGGCTCGATGATAAAGCATTTGCTGCTCTTATGGAGGATCTGGGTTCAATTCCCAGCACCCACATCAGATGCCTCACAATTAATTAAACTCCAGCTGCAGGGGTTGTGCCCTACATACACACCCACACAGACACATGAAGAAATCTTTAAAAACAAAGAGACCCTCTGATCAAATTTCTCTTGATTCCAAAGTGAACAAAACAGGAATTTTCTCTTGAAAAGAAACACGAATTTGTCTAGATTAATCACTGCAAGTCCCTGAGTAAATGATGTTTATTTGACTTCTTTTAATGTATATTCCTGCCTAACTTTACAGTGGCCAGTTAATTTACTTTGGACTAATTTGCAGTTGTAGCTGGGTAGAAATGAGAAACACTGGGGCTGGAGAGGCGGCTTAGCTGTTAAGAGTGTGGACTGCTCTTGCAGAGGACAGGAGTTCAGTTCTCAGCAATCATGCCTGGCAGCTCACAATCTCCTGTAACTCAGTGCTCACAACCTCCTATAATTCAGCTCTGGAAGATCTGATGCCCTCCTCTGGTCTCCACGGGTACTTGTATCACATGCACATACCTATATACAGCCATACAAAAGTATACATAACTTGAAAAATAATAAAAAAAGAAACAAGAAGTACTTTTAAAAAACCCTACTGAACCCTAACCAAGAGAAATGACTAATAGTCTGTTCTCTCCCAGTAATAGGAAGGTCAGAATATATTTGTTTTGATTTAGACTACATTGTATGTATTTTTTCAGGTTCCCCTAAATCTGTGAATGTAAATGAGCTTGTCTCTGATGCACCCTCCTGTTTTGGCAAGGGAATACCTGGAAAACTATGTTAAATAGCTCTCAGGTTCTAATTTAAGTCACCTGGTTTAAAACAACAACAACAACAACAAAAACCACAACCAAAACCACTTCTCAACAACCTCGGGTTTTATTGTTGAATTTTATCTTATATATTTCTTTCCTTGGGCTAAGTCAGAGATTTGGTACTCTAGAGGGAGCCCTGTATTTTGAAGAAAACCCTACAAATTCAACCCATTTGGCTTGCTTGGGTAGAGTTTTTCCACACAAGGTGAAGCCCTACTCTGATTTCTCTATTTGTTATGAGAGATGGCCCCAGGTGCTCAGCACAAGGTGGCGCCAATGAGCTGTAGAAATTTGGCTTCACTTTGCCCCGCAACCCCCACCCCCTCAAACCTCATCTCCTGTGTTTCTGGCTTCACTGAGCAGGGCAGAAAATCCATTCTGTTATTGCTGGAGAAGGGAAGGATTAATGAAGGGTGTCGGGTTCTTCCTAAGTCAGCACTGGAAGCCCTCCTAAAACGAATGGAGTTTGCGGAGTGCCCCCGGGGTCTCGGCTTCCTGCCGCTTCCTCTCTTCAAGCCCTGTGTGACTGTCCAGAAGGCCTTTAGATTGCCATCCCTTCCCCATCCCAAGGAGTTTACAAACCTAAGCTGCTGGTGGTTAAGGCTTCTGGCGACTGTGCAAAGGGGCCATCTGTGTTTGATCAATCCAGGCGGGAAGGAGGGGGTGGGGGTTGTAAAGAGACTGAAAGCATTCCAGAGTAGTGAGAGACACCCAGAGATCAGAAAGAGGAGGCGCCGCCCCCACCCCGCCTCCAAAGCTAACGGGCTGGAGGGAAAGAGGCCGCCGAATGCACACTCCTCCTCTGGCCCTACTTAAGGCTGCCATGGGGCCCAGTGCTCCTCTGCTCTTCTTCTTCTTCTTGTCATGGACGGGACCCCTTCAGGGACAGCAGCACCACCTTGTGGAGTACATGGAACGCCGACTAGCTGCCTTAGAGGTGAGGGATTCGTTTCTCTTCTAGCCTAGACAGGAGTGATTCCACATCTGTCGGTGCAGCTAGTTGTCAGGGTTCTGGGAGTGACAAGATCGGGCTCTGTTAAGAGGCTGCAGGAAAGTACACAGCTTAGTGACCAGGAGCCTCCTAATTACAGACGCCCACAGATGTCCCCATCATCAAACAATTGCACTCAAATAAACCCAAGTTTCCCCTCGGGATTATGAGAGTCAGAATCGAGCTGTATCTCAGAACCAGCTGGCTATAGTGTTAAAGTTTCCCAGGTAATCTGCCTGCAACTCCCTGTCGGTTTCTTCCGGGTACCCCATGTCTACCCCCTTTTAAACAGTTCAAAGTCTGTAGCGTCTTGATTTCCTGGAGGCTCAGAACACTGATAGCACAGGCTGAAGGACTCTTCTTTGGGTGAATTAAGCCAGGTTCCTTGGATGGGTAGCGCCTGACAACTGGTCTCCTCTGCTGTGGGAGCAGCAGGGGCTGTCGGAGCCTAGCTGAGTTTTCTCCTTTTCCCGGTCCTGACTCCCTGGTTGGGCCTCCGCTCGCCTGGGAATTATAACCCAGCAGCCCGCCCTCCCCCTGACTCCCCCATCCCTTCAGGAACGGCTGGCCCAGTGCCAGGACCAGAGTAGCCGGCATGCCGCTGAGCTGCGGGACTTCAAGAACAAGATGCTGCCTCTACTGGAGGTGGCAGAGAAGGAGCGGGAGGCCCTCAGAACCGAGGCGGACACCATCTCAGGAAGAGTGGACCGTCTGGAACGGGAAGTGGACTATCTGGAGACCCAGAACCCAGCTTTGCCCTGTGTGGAGCTGGGTGAGAAGACGACTGGAGGCCCTGGGACCAGCGGCAAGGGCCGAAGAAATGAGAAGTATGAGATGGTGACAGGTAAGTGATCTCAAGAGGCCCAAACAACCTCAGAACTCCTCTCCCCGGCTTCTCTTCTCCTTGTCCATAGCCACCACGGCTCGATCTTCCAGAATCCGTTTGGAGGAAACCCTTAATGACAAGCCCATATAGAGTTTCTAGAGGCCCACGCCTTATTGGTGCCCCCACCTCTCAACCCGCCATGAACCCTGGGGAGTTCCTGCTATAAGATGTCTAACTCTTGGGTCTATATTCGCCTGTGTTTCTCCTTTTCTCCACCAGACTGTGGCTACACAATCTCTCAGGTGAGGTCAATGAAGATCCTGAAGCGGTTTGGCGGCCCCTCTGGTCTGTGGACCAAGGACCCACTGGGGCCAGCAGAGAAGATCTACGTGTTAGACGGCACACAGAACGACACAGCTTTCGTCTTCCCAAGGCTGCGCGACTTCACCCTGGCCATGGCGGCCCGGAAAGCTTCCCGAGTTCGGGTGCCCTTCCCCTGGGTAGGCACAGGGCAGCTGGTATATGGTGGCTTCCTGTATTATGCTCGAAGGCCTCCTGGAGGGCCTGGAGGGGGTGGTGAACTGGAGAATACTCTTCAGCTGATCAAATTTCACCTGGCAAACAGAACCGTGGTGGACAGCTCAGTGTTCCCGGCAGAGAAGCTGATACCCCCCTACGGGCTGACAGCAGACACGTATATTGACCTGGCAGCTGATGAGGAGGGCCTTTGGGCTGTCTATGCCACTCGGGACGATGACAGGCATTTGTGTCTAGCCAAGTTAGATCCGCAAACACTTGACACAGAGCAGCAGTGGGACACGCCATGTCCCAGAGAGAATGCAGAGGCTGCCTTTGTCATCTGTGGAACCCTGTACGTTGTCTACAACACCCGCCCTGCCAGTCGGGCCCGTATTCAGTGTTCCTTTGATGCCAGTGGTACGCTGACCCCTGAACGGGCAGCACTCTCTTATTTTCCACGGCGATATGGTGCCCATGCCAGCCTTCGCTATAACCCCCGTGAGCGCCAGCTGTATGCCTGGGATGATGGCTACCAGATTGTCTACAAGCTGGAGATGAAGAAGAAGGAGGAGGAAATGTAAGCAGCTGGTGCTTCTGATTCTCCTATCTCCACACATTTATATTCTTGTTAGATCTGTTGTTCATTCTTCAAATGAAGGCCAGTGGTGGCTCATATCCCCTCATTTTTAAACAACAACAACAACCAAATTCTCATAGCCCCTTTGTTTTATGCAGAACTCCAGATCTTGAGTAACCTTTTAGAACTAAAACAGCAGACACCCTAAATCTTCACCCTGCTCTCTCTCCTGCTCTGTGCCCACAAATTTTAGTCCCAAACCCAGAGCCCTGACCTTTGGATAGGGTCAACCCCAGACAGCAGTATGACCCAAGGGAGAGAAGAACTCACAGAGACAACTCTGTCCTCCTTCATTCGCCCCTCCAACGTGGGGAAGAGTGGGGCTTTCCCCACATCACTTTGTATGGCAACATTTTGCATTAAAAGGAAAACCCGCCATTCCTCTCCTGTGTGTGTTTGGGGTAGCCCTCAGATCAGAGTTCCATGGCTGCTTTCTCCTCCTGCCATGTTAGGGATTGCCTGGGCTCCCCCCACTCCCTCAGGAATTTCTCTAGTTACACATTTTACTGTGGGGCGCTTTAGAAGGTTGGACAAAAGGCCTCCCCCTCCATGCCCACGGCACTCCACAGCAACCTCAGAGAACCACCAATGGCAGAGAGCCTCTGACGGCTGGACACTGGAGCCCAGAGGCAAGGCTTCCAGTTCCAGCTCCTGGTGGACTTTGAACCAGAAAGTGGATCTTACTGGGTTTGAAGTCTAGTGTAGAAACCAGCATGGCATACAAGTGTGTCTAGTCTCACCTCTGAAGTGAGATTCTGTTTCTGAGCCCAAGTCCCCACTCCCATCTCCAGCACTGGCTCTTCCCTGGTCTGGGTTGTGCAATCCTGGGTCTGAAGCGCTCTGATTTTCCTGCTGCCACAGCGTCTGCGGTTTGGACAAGGAGGAGGGCCAGTGACCATCCCAGATGTCGGTCTCACCAGTTTCCCAACATATACCCTCCTCCCCACCCTCATCCGCCCACCACCCTCCTACCCCAGTCCTGGAAGCCGACTGAAGTCTGCCCTGGAGTCCTGGAAACTTAACCCCTGCTGGTCAATCCCCTAACCTCACACACCAGATTGCAGGGGCCAATCCAGAAGGCAGAAAGGACTGGAGGAGCCAGGCTTTGGATTCTAGTCCCTGGGGATCTGCTGGGCTCTGCATGATGTCCCTTTCCCAGGCCTCATCCCCATGTTCAACTCACAAGTTTAAGGCTGGCTGATGGATAGAAGCCCTGGCTGCTGTGGGAGAGTTTACCTCAGGCAGCCCTCTGGATTATTTACTGGGGAGGAGGTGGGGGGGAGACAGGAACACAGCCTTCTCTCCGAAGTACAGCCCTCCTTCCCCAGGATGGGGTTGGATCAGTCAGGGCCTGTGATCCTCCTTTTGTCTTCTCTCCTCAGGCAGAGCTGCTCCTGACGTAGGTTGGTTAGGGAGAGGAAAGAAAGGCAGCAGCGGAGCACCTCACAAAGGCGCTATTGTAGGGAGCCTGAGGCGGGAGGGGGCCCTCTCCCATTCAATTCTCTCCTAATGTGGGGCTGGCAACAGTAATCACCGCCTGTCAGCCCATAGAGGGGTCTGCCCACGGAACATCTGGCTGCAATGCAGGGCACATAGGAGGGCTGTGGAGGAGGGAGCTCTCTGTGGAGGCCTTGAGAGCAGGACCAGGGGATGGAAGGTGCAGTGTGGCGCTGTGACAGTGAGCACGTGGGGTGTGCTTGTGTGGCACTCTGCGTGACAAAGAGTCTGAGCAACAGTGTGAGACGGGTCCTGCGTGTGAGACTGCATGTGTACAGATGGGTGGTCTGTGTGCGTGCAGCTGTGTGGGGTGATGTGTGTGAGAGAGACTGAGGAGGGTACTGTCTGAAACCGTGTTGTGTAACTATGCGTGTGTGTGACCACCTGGCAGTAGTACTTGTCTCCTTCCCAGGGTGACTGTGCCTAGAGAGAAACCGCCAGAGAGTGGGACTGAGTCCGTGGAGTTTTGTTGATGTAGGAGTGGCTTTTTGATGACCCTAGTAAGACCAGCTCAGATGGTGCATGTAAATATCACTGCAGGAACAAGTGCATGGGTTGTATCTTTAACGTTTCACCCATTTTATACAGACCGGGACCTCCCGTCTCTCACAGGTGTATACTTGTTACATCTTTCTTTGCTCAGAATCTTAGTGGGAAAGAATAAAGCAACTGGCTTTTGCTTGTTGTTGATTTGTCTTCAGATTTCCCTGGAAAGGCTTGCCTAGACTTACCTGAAAGGGCAGGGACCTCCGGGGCCTTGTCACTCTGTCCTTTTCCTTTCTTGAGCTGGGGCTGGGGCTATTTTGGAAGTCTTTGAGAAGGTGAGATGTACTGCGTGGGCAGGTCCTGTAAACGGACCAAATTCATTCAGCTAAGTTATCGGCTGCTCAAGGAGACAGTCTTGGCAGCTGAATCCTATCAAAAACAGCCTTAGTTACCCCATCCCCCAGACCTCCTAGGCCTTCCCTTGGCTGAAACAGGCCATGACCTTCGTAGTGGACCAAAAGGGCATGGAGGGCAAAGACCCTTGTGGAGAAGAGCCAGGTTGAAAGCCCACAGAGAAGTTCCCCATCTTTCCTCAACCCCAGGCTGGAAGACAGTCGCCATTAAAAACCAGGAAGGACTGCAGCCCTGGAGACATGGTCCTTCCAACAACTGGCACAACTGTGCTCTGGCATGGTGAATCAGGGTTGGGAGGACCTTCTCATCCCAGCCCAGACCCCTGCACTTCCTGTCTTACCACTCAAACTCTCCCTTCTGTTTTTACGGCGCTTGCCTCCTTGGTGCCTGCCAGAGAAGCTGGAGTGCTTGTCTGTCCTTGTTAATGGAGGCCCATGAGCCCCAGGGGTGGGGAAGGGCAGGGCAAAGACAGCAGGATGACATTGATTCAGCTGTCACTGCCTCCTCTGTGCTGGGGCTCTGAGCTAAACAGGAAGCAGAGCCCTTCCCCTGCTTCCTCCTTCAGCCTCCGATTTTCCAGGCCCCCTTTTTATCCCTGTCCTTGTACGGTGCCTGCTCCCGAGGCTTCTCACAGCTCCCTGTTTGTCTAGCTGGCTTAGTTTCCAACACGTTCATTTTGAGAACTGCAGAGACTGCCCTAGTCCTCCTGGCCTTTAGATTGGGTCTCTAGGGCTTCCTATCTAGCCCGTCTGGCTGCTTTGCAGCATGCTCTTAGTAAGCCTGCCATTTCTTCAGCTGGAGGGCAAGACCTGTTAAGCTTGTTGGGATCTTCTTGGTCCCAGCAGCCTGGGAGAGGATGCCACGTTCTCTGCTGCAGCCACCAAGGCTGGTAAGCGCGCTCTCTCTCTCTCTCTCTCTCTCTCTCTCTCTCTCTCTCTCTCTCTCTCTCTCTCTCTCCTTAGCTTTAATTTCTTTTGTGTGTATGTGTGTTTTGCCTGTGTGTATATCTGTGTATCAGTTACATGCCCGGTGCCCACAGAATCCAAAAGAGGATGTTGGTTCCCTGGAACTGGAGTTACAGATGGTTGTGAGCAGCGATGTGGGTGCTGGGAATTGAACCCAGGTCCTCTGAAAGAGCAGCCCGTGCTCTAACTGCGGAGGCACCTCTCCTGCCCGTTTCCTCCACCTCTTTAACATCTACACTCACAAGGCAGAGCTTCCGAGATTAAGTCTTTATTTATGGATTTAATAACTGCGCAGAAGAACAAAGCATAGATGCCAGTGTATCATCTAAAGGGCAACAGAGTGAGGCCGGAAAAAGGAGGTGCTCCCAGCCCCAGTTCACCAAAACTGCCAAGAGCCACCCACCTCTCCGAACCGTCCGCAGGACCTCTGGGGCCCACCTCTTGAGTATTTGCCCCTCTGAGAATAGACTCCCTTCCTCCCTGACCACAGCTGGGCTGCTCCGGGAGGGGCAAGTCAGGTTCTCTTTTCTGGGCATTTTAAAAATGACTGATCAGAGATGTTTGGACCCTCCCTGTCCCAGTTTAAAAATGTCTTCTCTTTGGAGGCTCTTTTGTCTGCTACAGAGAGTTGGTGAAAGCCAGACTGCAGGCCAAAGTGGACATTTGGAGAGAGGCAGGCAGGGGAGAGTGGCTGGCCCTCGGCAGTGTTCACAGCCTGCCTACAGCCATCCCGGGGGTAGGGAGAGGACCACACACATTCTGCCTCATAGGTTTCACAAAATGTCTGAATCCCTACAGGCCTCCTTATTTGGGTTTGTTGGCTTTGTTTAACCCAGTCTGACCGGGTTTCTGTTTCCTATAACCTAGCGATTTCTCGTCTTCATCTTACTCCCAACCAAAACAGTTGTACCATGTCTGAGCTACTGGGAAAAGAGCCATGCCCTTGTAAATTTTTCTTCCCTGAGCATAACCCAGGGAAAGAACCTGTGCTAGACCCGTGACTCCCCCCACTCCCCCCCTTTTTTTTTTAGTTTCTCATGACAGGGTTTCTCATGAACACGCTGTGGCTGTCCTGGAACTCGCTCTGTAGACCAGGCTGGCCTCGAACTCATGGAGATCCGCCTGTCCCTGCCTCCCAAGTGCTGGGACTACAAGCATATACCACCACCACCCGGCAGGCCAGTGACTCTTAAGCCAAACTCCATTCAAGCCATGTCTCCTCCACGGTGCATTCCACACGGCCTAGTCACTTACAACCAATTCATGGTTGTTTAGATCTTTAAATTTTGTTTTAAGTGTATGGGTGTTTTTCTTGCATGCCTCTCTGTGCACCACTTGCATGCCTGCTGCCCTTGAAACCAAAAAAGGGTGTTGTATCCCCTGGAATTGAAGTTACAGAAGGTTGTGAGCCACCATGTGGGTGCTGGGAATTGGACACCAGTTCTCTGGAAGAGCAACTCTAGTTCACATAGTTTGCATCTTGAATGCCCCTGCAAAGTGTTAAAGGCTTGGCTCCCAAGGAGTTGGTCCTTGGAGAGAGTTTTGGGCTCCGAGCCCCTTCCTCTCTCTTCTAGGCCACTATAAGAAGCACCTTTACTCCATCACATGTTCCCAACATGATGCTCTGCCTTGCCACAGGCTCAAAGCAGCCAGGCTAGCTTACCATGGACTGAAGCCTCATGTATTTGATCAAAGTGACAAAACCTAATACAGTAGTGTGTCTTTTCATCCCATCATTGTAATAGGCTTCCTTCTGGGCCACCAACCAGCTCCCACATCATGACACAGAGACTTCTTATTAGTTACACATGCTCAGCCTTATTTTATGCTTGTCCCACTAGCTCCTATAACTTATTTTAACCTGTTTCTCTTCATCTACGTTTTACCTAGGGGCTTTTTACCTTTCTTCTGTATGTCCTACTCTGTGTCTGTCTGGTTGGCAGTTGTCTAGCCATGGACACCTCCCTCTTTCTCCCTTGTTCTCTTCCTTCTTTTCCTCCCGAGCCTAGATTCTTC